TGGGCTCAAGTGATTCTCTTGCCTCAGCCTCCTCAGTAGCTGGAGACTACAGGAGCCTATCACAATACCCACCTATTTTTAGAGATAGGGGCTCGCTCTTCTTCAGGCTAGTCTTGAATGCCTGAGCTCAAGCAATCCACCTGCCTGGGACTTCCCAAGTGCTAGGATTACAGGCATGAGCCACCATGCTGACCTATGATTCCTGACTTTTGATGTTATCCTACCTAGAACTGTGAATGGGCTCCCCATTGCTCTCGGGATAAATTTTTATTTTTATTTTTATTTTTGAGACAGAGTCTCAAGCTGTTGTCCTAGGTAGAGTGCCATGGCATTATAGCTCACAGCAACCTCCAACTCAAGCTCAAGTGATCCTCTTGCCTCAGTTTTTCTTTGGCCGGGGCTGGGTTTGAACCCGCCACCTCCGGCATATGGGGCCGGTGCTCCACTCCTTTAAGCCATGGGTGCTGCCCCTGTTTTTCTATTTTTAGTAGAGATGGGATCTTGCTTTTTGCTCAGGCTGGTCTCAAACTCGTGACCTCAAGCAATCCACCTGCCTTGGCCTCCCAGAGTGCTAGGATTACAGGTGTGAGCCACCTTGCCTAGCCTCTCGTGATGAATTCTAAACTCCCTGACTGGAAAGGCCTTCGATTATCTGACCCACAGGCAACCCTGACCCATGGCTACAGGATTATTTCGCCTTCATTTCTTGCTACTTCTCATGGCACTCCCCTGACAGCCAACTGGTCAGTCAATTGCTGGTTTGGCATTTGCTGTCTCTTATCCAGGAGTGGTCTCGATCTTCATTCCTATCCTCTTCACCTGGCTGCTCCTATTTAATCTTCAGTTTTCAATTTAAATGATACCACCCCAGGGAAGCCTTCTACAGCCCATTAAATACGGGTCAGCTGCTCTCACGCTGAAAGATTTTAAAATTCCAATTAGAATCTGTTGGAAAATACACTTAAATCCTTGTATCATTCTGAATATCTCAGAGATTAAATGGCATGTCCAAGCAGCTAAACAACTGTCCTTGCCATAGTCACCCACCAGCAGTAGTCCATACAACCCTACAGGTAAGATAAGAACACTTACACTGCAAAAGTCTTTCACCAAAAAGGTAGTTGTTCATTGTTTCAGCAACTATCTTGGCAACATCATCAGACTCAAATTCCACAAAGGCATAGCCTTTGCTATTTCCAGTCTGCAATGGAAAACCAACCACAAAAAGTAAAACAATTAACATCTAATCCAAAATCAAACTCTTAAAATGCCAATAATTTAAATAATGTACATTAGCCCTTTATCGAATAGTATCACGACACCTTTAATTACAACAGATAGGGACAAAATAGCTAA